GTGAAGTATGACTATATATGGGAGTATGTGTGTCTTTTGATGAATCAGTGCAGAAGGTTTTATGAATTAATTGACGAGAAAGCATCAAGGAAAATGAAGAACAAGATGGCAGGAGAGAAGAAAGAGAAGAAAATTGAGTAGTATTTTTTTTTTCTTGTTTTCCTTTCTTTTCCAGTGTAGAATATTAGGTTCTTTATTGTCGTGATTGTTCCCCTCGATCATGATACATGTTATAATTGTTAAGAAATATAAGGTTATTTTGTTTATTAAAGGTAGAATAGTCTTTTATTTTCTCTGTCTTGTTTAACTTATATATAATCTCTTTGTATTTAGGTTACATTACTTCCTAGTATTCAATTGAATTATGTAGTATCAATAAAATTCTAGTCTCATCTTTTCTTACCTCTTATATTTCTTTAAATTGTTCAACATGATATCAGAGCAAAGTTTCATGGGACAAGACTTAATCTCAAACACAGTTTGAGAAGGTATTTGTTCCGTTTAAGCATATGGTATTTGTTCCGTTTTTGCAATCTGGTATTTGTTCCGTTTTTGTAATCTGATTTTCTTTGTTTGTTGATTATGGCTACTGCAAGAGACGATTCGCTTCAATCTGTGAGTGTGAGGTTGGATGGAAAGAATTATTCGTATTGGAGTTATGTGATAAGAAATTTTTTTACCATATTCACTGCTATGGAGATATGTTATTGGAACTTTTATGAAACCTAAGAATACTGACGCGGGTTATGCTGATTTGATAGATGTCTAGGAAGCAGACAATGCAAAAATTATTCCTTTAATCAACAATTCTATTGAGCATTCTATAGGTACGCAATTGGCAAAGTATGAGATAGCAAAAGAAGTTTGGGATCATCTGCAAAGGTTATTCATTCAATTAAATTTTGCAAAGCAGTATCAATTGGAGGATGATATACGAGCTCTTCAGCAGAAGAATATGAGTATTCAGGAGTTTTATTCTGCTATGACAGATCTTTGGGATCAATTGGCTCTTATAGAATTGGCTGAATTAAAGGAATGTGGTGCATATATTGCTCGTAGAGAGCAGCAACGATTGGTACAATTTTTAATGACACTTCGTAGTGATTTTGAAGGACTTAGAGGTTCAATTTTGCATCGTTCTCCACTTCCTTCTGTTGACTCAGTTATCAGTGAGTTATTGGCTGAAGAGATACGTCTTAAGTCTTATTCTGACAAGGGAATTCTTTCTACTTTTGATCTTTCTGTGCTAACAGTACCTTCTAAATCATTCTCTCATAATCAGAATAAGCCTTACACAAGGCCTGCCTTCGACGAGTGCAATTTCTATAAGCAGAAAGGTCATTGGAAGGCTCAATGTCCTAAGTTAAGACAGCAGAATCAATCGCAGCAGCAATCTCAAGCTTGAAAGTTTGGCAATCAGTTATAATCTAATGCTCCTAGACCACCTCAGGATTACAAACCACCACAGTCTAATACTGTAGCAGTAGTTTCATCAGGTCCTTTCACCGATTTTAGTACCTTGGCTAAGCAATTTCAGAAGTTTCTCTCCTTACAACGACAAGTTATGTCTTCTTCTTCTTTAGGAGGTCAGTTGCCTCATAGTTCTCCAGGTATGTCACATTCTGTATGGGTCTAAGATTCTGGTGCTTCACATCACACGTCTCCAGATTCTTCATATTTTGTTTCTGTATCTCTTTCATCTTCTATTTCTATAATGAATGTTGATGACACTCCTATGCCTTTAGCAGGTGTTGGTTCTGTTGTCACACCTCACTTGTCTCTCCCTAATGTTTATCATATTCCAAAACTCACATTAAATCTTGTTTCTGTTGGTCAGTTATGTGATTCTGAAAATTTAGTCACATTTTCCTCTTCTTCTTGTTATGTGCAGGATCTGCAGTCTCAGAAGCTGATTGGGACAGACCGTAGAAAGAGGGGACTATATATTTTGGATGAGTTAAAAGTGTCAGTTGCTGCTACTGCTACTAGTGTTGATTTATCTTTTTTTCGTTTGAGTCCTTTTTCTTCTAGTTTTTATTTATGGCATTCTCGTTTAGGTCATGTTTCGTCTTCTCATTTGAGATTTTTGGCATCCACGGGGGCTTTAAAAAATTTGCAAACTTGTGATATTTCTGATTGTAGTTGATGTAAACTAGCAAAATTTTTAGTTTTACCTTTTAGTCGAAGTATTTCTGTTTCTTCTTCTCCATTTGATTTGATTCATTCTGATGTATGAGGACCTTCTCCTGTTGCCACAAAAGGAGGGTCTCGATATTATGTTATTTTTCTTGAGCATATACCTTTCTTTTTTAATCCATCCACTACTTATAGCTTGACTAGATCTGATCTTATTCGTATAGATCATTTTTCTGAAGATTCTGATACTTTGTCATCTTAGGTTTCTAGTACTTCAAATATCAACACTGATCATTCTACAGGTACTGACACTTTGTTCTCTAGCACACCTGAAGCTATCTCCTCTCCCATGGTCCCTCAAGCTCTGTCTTTGATTGTGGATCCACCTTTATGTCAATCCACACGCATTCATAAGTCCACAAAGTTATCAGATTTTACTTATTCTTGTTATTCTTCATCTTTTACTTCCTTTTTAGCTTCTATTTATTGTCTCTCTGAGCCCTCTTCCTATAAAGAGTCAATTCTTAACCCTCTTTGGCAGCAAGCTATGAATGAGGAACTTTCTGCTTTGCATAAGACAGGTACTTGGGATTTGATTCATCTACCTCCTGGTAAGAGTGTTGTTGGTTGTCATTGGGTGTATAAAATTAAGACCAATTCTGATGGATCTGTTTGTGCGATATAAAGTTAGATTGATTACAAAAGGGTACTCTCAACAGTATGGTATGGATTATGAGGAGACATTTGCTCCTGTTACAAAAATGACTACTATTCGTACTCTTATTGTAGTTGCTTCTGTTCATTAATGACATATCTCTCAACTTGATGTTAAAAATGTCTTCTTGAATGGGGATCTTCAAGAAGAAGTTTATATGGCTCCCCCTCCTGGTGTTTCACATAATTTTGGGTATGTTTGCAAGCTCAAGAAAGCGTTATATGGTCTCAAACAAGCACTTCGTGCTTGATTTGAGAAATTTTCTATTGTGATCTCCTCTCTTGGATTTACTTCTAGTAGTCAGGATTTTGCTTTTTTTGTTAAGTGCACTGATGCAAGTCGTATCATTCTGTCTTTATATGTTGATGACATAATTATTACTAATGATGATATTAATGGTATTTTAGTTTTGAAGACAGAGTTAGTTAGACAGTTTGAAATGAAGGATTTTGGTTCTCTACAATATTTCTTGGGTATTGAGGTAGTCTGCTCACCTAGAGGTTATCTTCTTTCTCGATCGAAATATGTTGCAGATATTCTTGAGCGAGCTAGACTTGCTGATAATAAGACTATAGATACTCCCATTGAGGTTAACGCAAAGTATTCTTCTTCTGATGGTTTACCTTTGTCAGATCCTACTTTATACCGTACTATTGTTGGGAGCTTGATATATCTCACTATTACTCGTCCAGATATTGCATATGTTGTTCATATTGTTAGTCAGTTTGTTGCTTCTCCTACTACAGTTCATTGGGCAACGGTTCTTTGTATTTTGAGGTATTTTCGGGGTACAGTCTTTTCAGAGTCTTTTACTTTCATCCACCTCTTCCTTGGAGCTGTGTGCATACTTTGATGCTGATCATGGCAGTGATCCCACAGATCACAAATCTGTTACTGATTTCTGTATCTTTTTGGGTGATTCTCTTATTTCTTGGAAGAGCAAGAAACAATCTATTGTTTCTCAATCTTCAACCGCAGCAGAATATCGTGCTATGACATCTACTACCAAAGAGATTGTTTGGTTACGTTGGTTACTTGTAGATATGAGAGTTTCTCTTTCTCATCTCACTCCTATGTATTGTGACAACCGGAGTTTTATTTAAATTGCTCACATCTTAATTTTTCATAAACAAACTAAGCACATTGAGATCGATTGTCACCTTACTCATCATCATCTCAAACACGGCACCATTACTTTGCCCTTTGTTTCTTCTTCTTTGCAGATTGCAGATTTCTTTACCAAGTCACATTTTATTTCCCGTTTTCGTTTTCTAGTTGGCAAACTCTCGATGTTTGTCGCTGCTGCATCGTGAATTTGAGGGGAGATGTTAAGAAATATAGGATTATTTTGTTTATTAAGGATAGAATAATCTTTTACTTTATCTGTCTAGCTTAGCTTATATATAGTCTCTTTATATTTAGATTAAATTACTTCATAATATTTAATTAAATTATGCAGCATCAATAAAACTCTAACCTCCTATTTTCTTATCTCTTGTATTTCATTAGATTATTCAACAATTGTAATCTCGGGACAATTCTACAAATAAATAAATTATCTACAGTGCAATTAAAATATTTATATAAAAAATAAATTTTTCGCCACATGATTTCAAATCATCGAACTTTTACAGCTCCCATTGATTAGCTAACAAAGTTAGTGGTTGGTGTTATAATTGTTGGCCAGTTCGACGATTGGAACCTTATCCCTCTGCAAAAGAATAATTGATTGTGAGCATGACGCCATTAACAATGAATAAAACCTCTAATCAGTGAAAGACTAAACCCCTCAAGTCAAAGATCGTGAACGCTTAATTTCCAAGCTCACCCACAATGAAATTTGGCAACCTCAGTGGGTCTTAATTAATTAATTATTTTATTTAAATTATATATGTATATTAAGGTTGTGTATATAAGCACCAAATAACACTGTAACACGTATTAATGTTTTTTCCTCTGTAGGAGGCCTGCATGGCTTCCACGTTTCGTCTTTGCTGTCTTAGACCGACAATTGCCTCGATGTTTGTAGGACGTAACGTTCCAACGTTTACCGACAAGTCTGCACAAACTCTCTTTCTATTTCTTCCCTTCTTCGGTTCTCGGAACTTAGATTTTCCAGAACTTGGTGAACTATTAAATTTGGGAGAAAATGGGAGGCTTTGTAATGGATGCCATTGGTTTCGGAGAGGCACCACCAAACATTTCTGGTCTGGAAATCAAAGAGCAGCAGGCAGCTATGGAATGGGCGAATTCAATCAGAGAATGGGTTGAAGAGGCATTTCAATGGATGTTTCCGCTGGGTGGTGAGAGATCATGGTACTCTTATGTCTTTACTGGAGCTGCAGCTGCCGCTGCTGCCACTGGTTGGTGGCTACTTTCCCATGTCGGAAGCTTCTCTCACCTACTTACAATTCTCTACGGGGGTAAGTGTGCTTGAACATGTTTGTGTTTCACTGCATGGGTGAGCTCTAAGAACGTGTGTGTGAGAGAGAGAGGGACTGTGAGTAGACTCTAAGGAATGTAGGCGGGCAAAACTTTGCACAATCACTAAAATATTGGATGTGTGTCATTAGTCTTTGATTACCATCCTGTCTACGATGTGCAAAATTAGAGGGATTCCGGCGTTGAGTCGGGAGAGATTCCTCCGATGCTTAAGTTAATATTACGATCAATACGTGAATAGGCTAGTGTACAAAATTAGAAAAATAATATATATGTGTGGAGTATAGAGTCGAGGTGTTCCTCCTTGAGGTTTCTCTACCTTTGAGTCTTCACCAATAGAGAAAGCGTCCAGAGATGTCATTATTGTTGGAATGATATATTTTTGAGATATATGTCATTGCAAGGATTAAAAATTGGGCTCGACTTCAATTGGTTAATCAACAAAGCTGACAGTTTCGTGTTGCCTTGAGAAAATAAATTATGGGTATTATTATTACACAGCCATGTGATGTGAGGTCGTCTCCTTCGATGCAAATTTGGTCCATCAAAATGTATGTCTGCCGGTTAAGGTTAAGAACGGTTAAGGTTAAGTATGGTTCATAAATCAGCCGATACCCATATGAGTAGCGAAGTCTCACCTAGTTTCACAGGATTCGACTGAGTCGTCCTTTTCAATTGACGTGGACTCTAAATTATTCCTCGGAGGTTAGTTACACAACCATCTATCTCTCACGCACACACATCCTAAGGAGTATTTTTTAATCCTATTTTTGGAGAAATTTTTGTATGGATTTAACACAGCGGTCTACATAGGTAATGAGAAGGTGTACATACTGTGTTAAATCCACTCTTTTAACTTTTTTCCTAATTTTTGTGGTGGGTGTTACAGGGATTGTGGTGGGTATGACTGTACCTCTGATTTATGTGAAGTATGACTATATATGGGAGTATGTGTGTCTTTTGATGAATCAGTGCAGAAGGTTTTATGAATTAATTGACGAGAAAGCATCAAGGAAAATGAAGAACAAGATGGCAGGAGAGAAGAAAGAGAAGAAAATTGAGTAGTATTTTTTTTTTCTTGTTTTCCTTTCTTTTCCAGTGTAGAATATTAGGTTCTTTATTGTCGTGATTGTCCCCCTCGTTCATGATACATGTTATAATTGTTAAGAAATATAGGATTATTTTGTTTATTAAGGGTAGAATAGTCCTTTATTTTTTCTGTCTTGTTTAACTTATATATAATCTCTTTGTATTAAGGTTACATTACTTCCTAGTATTCAATTGAATTATTTAGTATCAATAAAATTCTAGCCTCCTCTTTTCTTACCTCTTATATTTCTTTAGATTGTTCAACATGATATCAGAGCAAAGTTTCATAGGACAAGACTTAATCTCAAACACAGTTTGAGAAGGTATTTGTTCCGTTTAAGCATATGGTATTTGTTCCGTTTTTGCAATCTGGTATTTGTTCCATTTTTGTAATCTGATTTTCTTTGTTTGTTGATTATGGCTACTACAAGAGACGATTCGCTTCAATCTGTGAGTGTGAGGTTGGATGGAAAGAATTATTCGTATTGGAGTTATGTGATGAGAAATTTTTTTAAAGGTAAAAAGCTATGGGGATATGTTATTGGAACTTTTATGAAACCTAAGAATACTGACGCGAGTTATGCTGATTTGATAGATGTCTAGGAAGCAGACAATGCAAAAATTATTACTTTGATCAACAATTTTATTGAACATTCTATAGGTACGCAGTTGGCAAAGTATGAGATAGCAAAAGAAATTTGGGATCATCTGCAAAGGTTATTCATTCAATTAAATTTTGCAAAGCAGTATCAATTGGAGCATGATATACGAGCTCTTCAGCAGAAGAATATGAGTATTCAGGAGTTTTATTCTGCTATGACAGATCTTTGGGATCAATTGGCTCTTACAGAATTGGCTGAATTAAAGGAATGTGGTGCCTATATTGCTCGTAGAGAGCAGCAACGATTGGTACAATTTTTAATGGCACTTCGTAGTGATTTTGAAGGACTTAGAGGTTCAATTTTGCATCGTTCTCCACTTCCTTCTGTTGACTCAGTTATCAGTAAGTTATTGGCTGAAGAGATACGTCTTAAGTCTTATTCTAACAAGGGAATTCTTTCTACTTTTGATCTTTCTGTGCTAACAGTACCTTCTAAATCATTCTCTCATAATCAGAATAAGCCTTACACAAGGCCTGCCTTCGACGAATGCAATTTCTATAAGCAGAAAGATCATTGGAAGGCTCAATGTCCTAAGTTAAGACAGTAGAATCAATCGCAGCAGCAATCTCAAGCTTGAAAGTTTGGCAATCAGTCATAATCTAATGCTCCTAGACCACCTCAGGATTACAAACCACCACAGTCTAATATTGTAGCAGTAGTTTCATTAGGTCCTTTCACCGATTCTAGTACCTTGGCTAAGTAATTTCAGAAGTTTCTCTCCTTACAGCCACAAGCTATGTCTTCTTCTTCTTTAGGAGGTCAGTTGCCTCATAGTTCTCCAGGTATGTCACATTCTGTATGGGTCTAAGATTCTGGTGCTTCACATTACATGTCTCCAGATTCTTCATATTTTGCTTCTGTATCTCTTTCATCTTCTATTTCTATTATGACTGCTAATGACACTCCTATGCCTTTAACAGGTGTTGGTTCTGTTGTCACACCTCACTTGTCTCTCCCTAATGTTTATCATATTCCAAAACTCACATTAAATCTTGTTTATGTTGTTCAGTTATGTGATTCTGGAAATTTAGTCACATTTTCCTCTTCTTCTTGTTATGTGCAAGATCTGCAATCTCAGAAGTTGATTGGGACAGACCGTAGAAAGAGGGGACTATATATTTTGGATGAGTTAAAAGTGTCAGTTGCTGCTACTGCTACTAGTGTTGATTTATCTTTTTTTTCGTTTGAATCCTTCTTCTTCTAGTTTTTATTTATGGCATTCTCGTTTAGGTCATGTTTCGTCTTCTCATTTGAGATTTTTGGCATCCACGGGGGCTTTAAAAAATTTGCAAACTTGTGATATTTCTGATTGTAGTTGATGTAAACTAGCAAAATTTTTAGTTTTACCTTTTAGTCGAAGTATTTCTGTTTCTTCTTCTCCATTTGATTTGATTCATTCTGATGTATGAGGACCTTCTCCTGTTGCCACAAAAGGAGGGTCTCGATATTATGTTATTTTTCTTGAGCATATACCTTTCTTTTTTAATCCATCCACTACTTATAGCTTGACTAGATCTGATCTTATTCGTATAGATCATTTTTCTGAAGATTCTGATACTTTGTCATCTTAGGTTTCTAGACTTCAAATATCAACACTGATCATTTTACAGGTACTGACAGTTTGCTCTCTAGCACACCTGAAGCTATCTCCTCTCCTATGGTCCCTCAAGCTCTGTCTGAGAATGTGGATCCACCTTTATGTCAATCCACACGCATTCATAAGTCCACAAAGCTATCAGATTTTACTTATTCTTGTTATTCTTCATCTTTTACTTCCTTTTTAGCTTCTATTTATTGTCTGTCTGAGCCCTCTTCCTATAAAGAGTCAATTCTTAACCCTCTTTGGCAGCAAGCTATGAATGAGGAACTTTCTGTTTTGCATAAGACAGGTACTTGGGATTTGATTCCTCTACCTCCTGGTAAGAGTGTTGTTGGTTGTCATTGGGTGTATAAAATTAAGACCAATTCTGATGGATCTGTTTGTGCGATATAAAGTTAGGTTAGTTACAAAAGGGTACTCTCAACAGTATGGTATGAATTATGAGGAGACATTTGCTCCTGTTACAAAAATGACTACTATTCGTACTTTTATTGTAGTTGCTTCTGTTCATTAATTGCATATCTCTCAACTTGATGTTAAAAATGTCTTCTTGAATGGGGATCTTCAAGAAGAAGTTTATATGGCTCCCCCTCCTGGTGTTTCACATAATTTTGGGTATGTTTGCAAGCTCAAGAAAGCGTTATATGGTCTCAAACAAGCACTTCGTGCTTGATTTGAGAAATTTTCTATTGTGATCTCTTCTCTTGGGTTTACTTCTAGTAGTCATGATTTTGTTTTTTTGTTAAGTGCACTGATGCAACTCGTATCATTCTGTCTTTATATGTTGATGACATAATTATTACTAATGATGATATTAATGGTATTTTAGTTTTGAAGACTGAGTTAGTTAGACAGTTTGAAATGAAGGATTTTGGTTCTCTACAATATTTCTTGGGTATTGAGGTAGCCTGCTCACCTAGAGGTTATCTTCTTTCTCGGTCAAAATATGTTGCAGATATTCTTGAGCGAGCTAGACTTACTGATAATAAGACTGTAGATACTCCCATTGAAGTTAACACAAAGTATTCTTCTTCTGATGGTTTACCTTTGTCAGATCCTACTTTATACCGTACTATTGTTGAGAGCTTAGTATATCTCACTATTACTCGTCCAGATATTGCATATGTTGTTCATATTGTTAGTCAGTTTGTTGCTTCTCCTACTACAGTTCATTGGGCAACGGTTCTTTGTATTTTGAGGTATTTTCGGGGTACAGTCTTTTCAGAGTCTTTTACTTCCATCCACCTCTTCCTTGGAGCTGTGTGCATACTTTGATGCTGATCATGGCAGTGATCCCACAGATCACAAATCTATTACTGATTTCTGTATCTTTTTGGGTGATTCTCTTATTTCTTGGAAAAGCAAGAAACAATCTATTGTTTCTCAATCTTCAACCGCAGCAGAATATCGTGCTATGACATCTACTACCAAAGAGATTGTTTGGTTACGTTGGTTACTTGTAGATATGGGAGTTTCTTTTTCTCATCCCACTCCTATTTATTGTGACAACCGGAGTTCTATTTAAATTGCTCACAACTTAATTTTTCATAAACAAACTAAGCACATTGAGATCGATTGTCACCTTACTCATCATCATATCAAACACGGCACCATTATTTTGCCATTTGTTTCTTCTTCTTCTTTGCAGATTGCAGATTTCTTTACCAAGTTACATTTTATTTCCCGTTTTCGTTTTCTAGTTGGCAAACTCTCGATGTTTGTCGCTGCTGCATCGTGAGTTTGAGGGGAGATGTTAAGAAATATAGGGTTATTTTGTTTATTAAGGATAGAATAATCTTTTACTTTATCTGTCTAGCTTAGCTTATATATAGTCTCTTTATATTTATATTAAATTACTTCATAATATTCAATTAAATTATGCAGTATCAATAAAACTCTAACCTCCTCTTTTCTTATCTTTTGTATTTCATTAGATTATTCAACAATTGTAATCTCGGACAATTCTACAAATAAATAAATTATCTACAGTGCAATTAAAATATTTATATAAAAAATAAATTTTTCGCCACATGATTTCAAATCATCGAACTTTTACAGCTCCCATTGATTAGCTAACAAAGTTAGTGGTTGGTGTTATAATTGTTGGCCAGTTCGACGATTGGAACCTTATCCCTCTGCAAAAGAATAATTGATTGTGAGCATGACGCCATTAACAATGAATAAAACCTCTAATCAGTGAAAGACTAAACCCCTCAAGTCAAAGATCGTGAACGCTTAATTTCCAAGCTCACCCACAAACATGATCAAAGCAAAAACTATTTTTAAAGTAAACTGTTTGGAATTCAATGCCTTTGATGATGTTGAAATCTTCATCTAAACATCTTCAACCCCCAAAAGCCACCATTTTTGTTGTCACTGTTTCACAATCTTCACATCCAACACTCCTCGAACTTTCCCTAACTGAAGATCTCAACACCAATTTGGCAATTTCAATCGTCATTTTGCTTTTTTAGAGCTTGTTTGGTATTGAGATGGCTGATCTGATTTTGGGAGCTGTAGTTGGTGAATTACTGGCTGCTGTTATAGAGGCGACCAAGCAAGCCATCAATTTCAAATCCTCTCTCGATAACCTCAAAACAACTTTGATTGCAATACAGCCATTTTTTGACGAAATAGAGAAGCTAAACAAGTTGTTGGACGCTCGGAAAGAAGAAACAGGCATGTTTATCGATCGTCTGAAAGAGGGTAAAAATCTAGTTCTTAAGTGTTCCACAATCAAAAGCTGGAATGTGTACAAAAAGATTAGGTACAATAAGAAGCTGACCGATTTGGATAGCTCGTTGTTGAGGTTCTTTCAGATTGATGTGCAAGCACTGATGGCCAGGGACAGTAAGAAGATTTTGGTAGGTGTCAACGATAATGACCAGAAATTAGATAGAATACTTTCGATTTTGAAAAACGGCGTTGGTGGGAGTCGTTATTCAAATGGGGTTTCAGGTTCTTGTACAGTTCCAGGCGTTCCGCATTTCATCGTTGGATTGGATGTGCCTCTTCAAGAATTAAAGGTGATGCTGCTCAAGGATGAAGTGTCAGTGGTGGTGCTTTCGGCTCCTGGAGGGTGTGGGAAGACTACATTGGCCAAAATGCTCGGTCGCGATGATGAAATTAAAGGTAGCGCTACTAACAATTATCATTTTCATTGAGTAAGTTGATCCAAATTTAGCCATGCCAGCTAAATTTATCTCTGACACTTCATACCTGAAAACTATTTGATGTTTTGGGTCATCGAATTTAGAATTGTGTTTTGCGGCATCCTTTACCTTTCTTGTACCCTGTGCTTGGTGAAGTTCTTAAAAATTTTGAATGAATGTTTCCATACTAAAAGTTTCTAACCTTTTAGCTTGTTGTCGTGCTGGGCAGCCATATATGGGGCCAATATATTCTTTGTCAATGTCTCAAAAACGCCCAATATCAAGGTCATGGTTCAGAAACTATTTCAACATCAGGGTTGTCATCAGTTGCCTGAGTTCCAAAGTGATGATGATGCAATCAACCAACTCGAGAACTTCCTGGAACAAAAAGGACATGATCGGATATTGTTGGTTTTGGATGATGTATGGCCTGGATCGGAATCCCTTATTCAGGATTTCAAGTTCCAAATACCAGGATACAAAATTTTGGTTACATCAAGATCTGAGTTAACAGGTTTTGATTCTACGTATAGGTTGAAATTGTTGAATGATCAAGACGCGATTACTCTTTTTCGCCATTTAGCATTTCCCCAAGATGGGACCTCCAATGTGCCGGATGATCTTGTGAACGAGGTAGAATACAAACTCATATGCATTATACTGAACGTATTCAGCATACATTCATCTATATGTTAAAATATGAGGTGGCTGAGATCCAGAACAATTTTTCCATTTACAGGTTTGAAGAGGTCTCCTTATTGTATGTGATCCGGCATTGATTTTTTTTGGTTTGTGTTCTTTTCGGTAAACCATAAATAATTTTGTTTGATCACTTTTAATTGCAGGTGGTGAAGGGCTGTGGGGGATTCCCGCTGGCCCTTACAGTGGTTGCCAGATCACTCTATAAGAAGCATGAAGTGATCTGGAGAAGTACAGTGAAGAAATGGTCTGAAGGTCAATCTATTTTTGATTCAAACACAGAGCTTCTTAAACGTCTCCAAACCAGCTTAGACGCTTTGGAAGAAATGCCTATAGTCAAAGAGTGTTACGTGGACCTGGGTTCATTTCCTGAAGACCAAAGGATCCCTGCCTCTGCTCTCAAGGATATGTGGGTGGAAATGTACAACCTAGATGAAGACGGTATGGATACCCTCGTCAACCTTATTGAGCTCTCCAATAGAAATTTGGCTAATCTTGTACTTACAAGGTATTTAAGCTTCCTATTCATCCCTGAGACACCAATTGTTTCTTTAGTTTGATGTTTTTGCACTCTAATTCATGCACATGATTTCTGCTAAGTAAGATGTGATTGTATGAATGAGAAAGAGGAGGTAGCAAAGTTAAGCCCGAGATAGGGAGAAAATTATTTATGGTGGTAAGTTTGCATGATTGCATCCCTGTTAGTTATTAATCAACTGGAAAGACAGGATTTGAGTGTTCTGTTGTTGCTCTCTTTTATTTTGTCTTGCAGCTCAATTTATAGTAAATTTCAAGGCCAATGTTATGTAGCCTAGTAGACAAGCTCACAACCAAGAGGTTGCAATCTTTTGTTGTTTTTGACAAATGTATTCAATGAAGTTTAAATTTAATAGCAAAAAGACCAGAGGAAGAAAGGTAAAGGATGCTTGAAAATGTTCAAATATCTCAACAACTGCTTATCCTTATCTTGGTGCCATTTGTTTCACGGATGACTGACCGACTTTGTAATGAATGGAGTAATCATGGAATGTCGGTCATATACATATGGACTTTCTCCCACCCTTGACCAACCAATTGCATTTTCATTCGCAGAAAAGATTCAAGTGAGGTTGATGACTACTGTAATGAGCAATTTGTCACGCAGCATGATCTACTGAGAGAACTGGCTATTTACCAGAGTAATCGAGCGCCCATAGAACAGAGAACAAGATTAATAATGGACATAAGTGGGAACAACCATCCCAGAGGGTGGATTGAACAAATTTCGCAGCCCATCCATGCCCATCTCTTGTCTATTTCTACAGGTTTGCTTATGTCATTTTCACTTAGAAGCATGTGAAACCTTCTGCGCTATGTTGGTTGGTTTACTTTTTTCTTCACGAAGTTCAAAATGTCCATTGCAGATGAAACATTCTCTTCAAGCTGTTACGACCTGCAAGTACCTGAAGTTAAAATATTAATCTTAAATTTCCGGACAGGGAACTTCACTTTACCTCAGTTTCTGGAGAGAATGGATAGACTGAAGGTGCTGATCATTACAAATTATGGGTTCAGCCCAGCTGAACTAAATGACTTTTTGTTGCTGGGTTATTTGTCCAATCTAAAGAGAATCAGGTTAGAACATGTTTCGATACCTTCCCTTAGTACATCTGTTTTAGAGCTGAGGAATTTGAGAAAAATATCCTTGATTATGTGTGAGATTGCAAAAGCTTTTGAGAATTGCACCATGGAGCTTCCCCATTTGTGGCCCAACCTAGAGCACATGGATATTGATTGTTGTTATGATTTATTTGAATTGCCTGCTGGGCTATGCAACCTTATCCACCTTAGGAAGCTCAACATCACTTACTGTCATGAGTTGCGTGCACTTCCTGAAGGGTTTGGAAATTTGACAAATTTGGAAGTATTGAGGCTTCATTCTTGTACCAAACTGTATGATTTACCAGAGTCAATTGGAAGCCTCCAAAAACTAAGGTTTCTTGATATGTCGGATTGCTTGAGATTGGGAAAATTGCCAACCCGTATGGACAAGTTGTGTGGTCTAAGAACTCTGCACATGAGAGGTTGTCGGGGATTAGAAGAGTTGCCAACATCAGTAATGGATCTGAAGCAGTTAAAAGATGTGATATGCGATGAAGAGACTGCCTACCTATGGGAACCTTATGAAAGTTACCTCGTCAATCTGAAGATAAATGTTCTAAAAGAAGATATCAACCTCAATTGGCTTCACAATTTCCATCCTTGAGAAACTTGTTGGGGGCACAGGTACTTCAATTAATTCTCTATATTTTAACCCTTATTTTTTAATTCAGTTAAAGCGTAAGTTCTTCTGCTATTGAGTAATATGACGGTATATACTCACTGCTATTGAGTAATGTGACGATATATACTCACTTGACATTCTTCAACAGACATGATACACATGTGAGTATTATTTTTATATTTGTATTTCAAGTTTTCATAATTAAAGATATTGGATAAACGGGAAAAATGCAAGTGCCAATTGGTGTGCATGACTGCCTCAATAAGCTCTTCATCATGCATGATATTGGGCTACTGAGGAAAATAATCTGAGGGATTGACGTGCTCATATTCTGGAGAGCACGACAGCAGCCACCCTTCTTTTTCAGCCCTCTTGATGTCAAAGATATCTCTTAATCCTTGGCAATAGGATCATCCAGCAGATTCAAAGGCGAGGAGGGCATATGGATTGTCATGTATAAAGAGCTTGGTTTGTTTGTTCCACCATTCATTTTAAAACTCCATTTGTAATTGTACTTGATTGTAAAGGATTTATTTCTTACGAGGTTCTTTTACTGTCAAAGTTGATTTTATGAAACTGCAGGTGAAGGGATGCCACTAGAAAGACTACATAGTAAAGGAGCTACTTGCGTAGTATGGGAAGAATATATAACAGAGCAAAACAGGATATAGTGAAGGAGGTACCACAATTTGGTGAACACAGAAGTGCAAACTCTTCAATTCTATCCATTGTCTCGATCACAGCAAATCTGTTTCTATGCGATTAGAATCAAATTTCACCACCGCAATGATCGAGTGGAATTACATGCGAAGCTCCATAGAATATGTTCCGTGGTTGTAAGAGAATGTTAGAACATAGATTTTGTCAAGTGCTTGCTTATGCGTTCTTGTGAATTTTTTCTCATCAGAGTAATCTATTGTACACCATTTGAGTAGGACTGATCCGCTCTGCCCCTTTTTGGTTTGGATGGTTTTTAAATTATTGTTTTTTCTTTTTTGAGGATATTATTCTATTTTCTCCGAGAATTAGATTGTATATTTTAGAGCAGAGGTCAGACACCAGAAAACTTCATACAGATGTCAGATTGTAAATATATTAGGGGTCACCCGTACTTAAAATTATGATATAATATGAATAATTTTAAGAGGAATAATAATAACTGTTGAATGAATTTATTTGAGACTATCGGATGAACTCATTGAAACCTACCCTATTTTATATTATAGATTATATGTTTTTTATGTAGAATTTTATTATTAGTATTTGTCACCTTCAGGTTTGGATAAAAACAAAAGCAGAAACTTGTATAAGAATGTGACACACCTGTCAATAGAGTAGAGTTTCATATTCAAAACTTGTATTTAGGGACGATACAAACAACAAAAACACATGATCCATACAATATATCATCGTCTGACCTATCAGAATTTCAACAAACAGTAAAAACTATCCACTCCCCTCAACTTAACCTCCTCCGACAATGTACTAAACTCAAACCTCTTCCCTACAGAAGCCTTCGAAAGATGCATACTATGTGGGACATATAAACCAACAAATGATTGATATTACTCATGGCCCAAATCCTTGGTAGCATGCTTCTCTAAATCCTCAAGTAGCCATAAGCCCAGAATTCTCAACTTACTGCAAGAATGGATGTTTTCAACCCCAGACACAAACTGCAATCAGATCGCATATATGACTTCTCCGCTGCTGTCAATATCAAGGTCAGGATCAGAGTCAAAGTCTTCCATGTCATCATCCATTTCCAGGTTATACAGGCCAACTGGTGGTATTGTAGCCTCAGACATTATCTGCATTATCGTATCATCGCTCTGCATGGGCTGATCAGGCTCTTCAAACTGTCTACTAATAGACTCCCCATCCATGAGATCGGCAGGAAGATTCTTTAAAAACCACTGGTGGTTCCTGATCTTAGGAATTGTAATCCTCTGTTGCATGCATGTATCAACAGGTATTAGGTTTAGATGATTACCAAACTAGTAAAATAAGTACAAGCTCCAATCCTACTTGGTATCAATCAATGATGTAGCAGAATCACATAAAGCAACACAGTTTGAATACATAATCATTAGGGTGAGCTTAAGAAATAACTCCAATTAGGTTAAGAATTTTTTTTAAAATAGGCAAGATTCCAAGTTCCTACTTCCCAAATCATCCTCCAGTTTTAATTTATCCACTGCAATTGGCACCTACAAGTAACAATCCAATACCACAGGCAACCACTGCATGGTTCACCCTTGCCGAAACTGGAAGGATACGTGACTTACACAGAGGCAATGCTCTTTCACCAAAAAAACTTCCTTCCTCTTTCAGCCAGATATTCAAACCTGGACAGATCCTTACTCTATACCATACTTCTTCTACCCAACAAAATAAAGCACATCTATTTAACATCAACACTTGAGGGTTTTTTTTTTTTCAAATTTAAAACTAAAGTCACTAACCATTGCAGGGTCTTGAACAAAGATTCTCGAGATCAGGTGGCGACATTCCAGAGATATTTGAATCTGTTCTGGAATGGCATATTGAACATTCAGAATTCTCTGTCAAACAGGAAAAGTCTACCGGTAAGAATAAATCATAGACATTCACAGTGATGTCATAACGAGTCAAATAACTACATGTATGGTCTTCCGGAAGTCCTTTGGTTCATCAGGGTCCTCAAAAGGATAGGCGCCAACCAGCATGACATATAATGTCACTCCACATGACCACACATCTGCAATCTGAAATAGCAATAGTATATGAGATGCACTACTCATCAATTCAGGAAAACATATATATATTTATTAAATAATTTGCTTGATCTAACTTCAAATAGAACGAACCATGCAAAAAAAGATGCCCCAAGACATGCAAAAACTGGGGAAATATTAAAAGCATGTCAAATGCAAACATGTATAACACCAATCAGAATGGGTCATCTATTTATTAACTGACAAAGATAAGAAGGTGTCAAAGCCACATATAGCAGTGAAGATCTTACTGGCTATCCCTATTTCAAGGAAGATACTATTTCAATTGGCTCATGCCATCAAAAAAGGAATTATTGCTATTTTACTACCAAATCATCTCCAGGACCCAGCCAAGTTTAATTCCCAGAAAGAAAAAAGGGCAGGGTCAGGCATGTCAGTGATTCCTGCATATATATATGAGATAGGCTAAAAGGAGAAATCAAAATATATTTTGAGAGACCTCTGACAATTAGGACCCACAACCAATACCTTCTCTAATAGGCCACCCAAATGACAGAAAACACTTTCCTAATTCTAGATGAGAATTGCTAGGAACTTCTATTGTAAGTTTGTAACTCTTGAGTAATACGTTTGATGGGAGCCGAGCCCAGCCTACACTGATATCAACGATGAATAAAATGCTGGTTTCTATTCCACTCTTTATCATTTCTTCATTCATTTAGGTGGTGCTTACAACTTTGCTTACCCATGTCTTCATTTAATGGGACTTTGGAGATTGAAGTGCTTTAACAGTGAGTTACACACTAAATATTTTGTAACAAAACTATAAATCATGTAATACATGGGCTGCAAGCGTCATCGCATTCTGACATAGCTTGGACCATTGAAAATTAACAATCTATAAGTGAAACGAACATTTTCAAATGAAAGTACAAACTAACAACTTGTTATTGAAATGAAAAGTTTCAAATGAAGAAAATTTAATGTACAACCTTTTTTTTATTGTCATGACAATTGTATATCTCTGGGTGATTCATATTAGTGGTTCTTTATTTGTTATAGATAGCATACAACGTCTGTACATGGTCTCATCCTCTTTGGCATTGCAGTGTGTACATATGTGTTATTTATTGCTTGGTTTGTGGGAAATGATTGACCTAATTAGGCTAAATGACAGATACAAACAGGAACTTCCTGTAATTGAGATCCAATATAACATGACGGGCGTAATAGATATAACATGACTTACTGGTGAGGCATGAAAATTGTTTAAACAAACATGTCAAACAAATATAATTACTACTACTAAACAGGACAGCATCTAAGTATATTTTTCACAGCATGCATACGAAATACACCGTCTGTACTAAAACCATTATTTCACTTTCCTTGGTGAAGCCAAAGTTGTATTATAAGGCTAAGAAATCAGTGGACCAATTCACAAATTAGCTGGAATTATGTGACAAACACTCTAATGCTCTTACCTTGCCATCATATTCTTGCCTAAGTAACACTTCTGGAGCAATGTATGCTGGAGTTCCCACAGTTGATTTTGGTTGTGAATGCAGCACAGAAGACTTTTGGAAAGAAAAGAAAAGAAAAGGCATAGTTAGAAAAGTATACAGAACAACTAACTGCAAAGGTCGTATAGGACACAGATGATTTGATACTGCACTCTCCCAAAGCTCACAATCTTCCACAGACAGTAAATTCAGAAGTAAAATTAACAGCAGAAAGGAGGAGGAAGAGAGAGACAAACAGAGAGCATTGGACTACAATGTAAGTGGAAAAATTGCTCAAGCTGCATCATTCAAAACTTCTTAATCTCAATTGAGATCCTAGTTTAGATCTCAGAAAAAATTTAAAACCACAAGAAAACAATGATAAGACAGGCAACCACTTGAGACAAGTAGTACCTTGGAGTACCCAAAATCACATATCTTCAAACGAGGAGCAGGACTTCCATCTAACAATGTATTCTCAAGTTTCAAGTCCCGATGACACACTTGCTTCAAGAAGAAACACAGTATCATAAGTCAAATAAGCAACCCAACTAGCATTTCCAGAAAACAGAAACCCTTGCCACTTGAGAAATGAATTGGAGACCCTTTATCAGAATTTTAAAGTGCAAGCTGTTCAGGATTTGAACATTTGACCTTTAATTGAATGAGCTAAAAAATAGAAAAATAACAAAATTAGAGAAATTGTAGGATAAAAACTTAAATTTTGCTGGTATCAACAAGGGGGATGGGAGGGTCTCTTTTTAAAGCACACACAATACGGGGGGAACCCCTGTCATTTCTCAAATGTCTGGGAGTCTCCACATTACTTTGCCAAAGCGCGGGGAGGGGGAGGATCAATATGTACCCATAAAGAAATAAATTTTCAAAATATGTAAGAGATCTAAATACCATTGCATGACAATAGCTGACTCCAGATATAAGTTGCTGAAAAAAGAAGCGAGCCTGTAACAAAAACCACAGCAAAGAAATCACTTAAGAAGCAAATCTACTGGAGGTGCAAAGACACTAAATATAATAGGCAAGCTAAGAACCTCATCCTCTTTGAATCGCCCTGCATTGCAGATTCGCTCAAAAAGCTCTCCTCCAGATGCATATTCCATCACAATAGCCAGATGAGTGGGTGTCAGAATGACCTACAGAAAAATTTCCATCCGAATAACAATTTGAAATCCTCATCTCCATTAATAGACATAAAAATAGGAACGATATCAATAGCAAGGCATATCAACAGCAAACCTCTTTGAACCTAACTATGTTCGGGTGTCTTAGAGACCTGTGATTAATAATTTCCCTTCGAACATTTTCATCTATCTGCAACCAAAAAGAAAATAAAAGTGACATTAATCAAAATTTATAATGATATCATGAATCGTATTGATTTGTTAATTGGATTCATCCAACTGCAACAAGTAACCATGTGACATGAACAACACAAGTAACGAGTATGCTCATGAGTTTGGTTTGTCCAAGTGGCCACTGCATATGAACCCAGTAAGGGCACCAGTAATTACAGTTTGCTATGCAATTGGATATAAATTACATCAATGCGTTCCTCTTGTTGCATGATTGCCTCAAATGGTGTATATGTGCCACTGATCAACACCATGCTACTTAAAAACACAATTTTAATACATAAATAAAAAATAACTCAAGAAAAGATAAAATATTTATCTCTATTCTTTTGTCCCTGAAAGTAGCCATATAGAAATTCAACATTTATAGGGATGGATATACATATACTGAAAGCGATGTAACATAGTTCCTCTAATGGTCTGTTCAATATGACATGTCCATGGGTTATAGAATTTCCATGTAACACCCAAACATCAAGCAAACACGCAGAGAAGATGAAGGACAATAAAATCAAAATAATTCAATTTTTGCTGCTCGGTAGCTCAGCCTAGGAGACCCAAGTAACAGGACAACTAGTGTTTACCCCATTTCCATCAGTTTCCCAGCAACCAAGCAGAACATAAGAGTAGTCTTACTTTTTTACTCTTTGGTTTGCTGCTTTAAAACTAATTTGAAATTTCATTACTTATTGCAAGAAACAATTTCTTCGCAATGTAACACTATTTAACAATAAAATAAAAATATGCAAAGGAAAAAATGAAACTAACAAATAACCCGAGTAGAACAGCCTAATGAAAAGGAACATATTAGACAAAGCATCTACCACAGGAACAAACTTCACAAACTAGCCCAATTGACACCAACACACCAACTTCTTGTTGGACGACTTGTCCAGCTTTGTGTGGCATGTAAAGTGGCCATAAGTCTTTGGTTTTCACTATGTACTATATACATGTTTGTTATTGGGTTGGATGACAAGTCCACCTTTGCTTAGATTAAAAAAGAAAATATAAATTACATGCTTAGATACATGCACACAGAGATACCCCAGTCGATGTAGCATAGTTCCTCTGGTGGTTCTGTTCAGTATGTTAAACTTCCAAGTCTAAATTGTTACCTTGAATGTCAATGCAGTCCTTCAATTTCCATGGCACACATAATCATCAAGCAAACTCAGAGAGAAGGTGAAGAACTGATAAAATCTAGATAATTCACTTTTAGTTGTTTCATGCTCATCTTAGGTGACCCAAGTAATGTACACCAACTATCCTGTTTTCATATTGGAGTTGGGGACACAACCAAAATAAAATGAAGAAGAGAGGAAGTGGGGGGGGGTTGCTGATATTTCTAGCCCTTCTGTTATTATTAGTTTGGCTGCCACCATGCAGGACACAAGGGTAGCCCCACATTTACTCTTCGGTTTGCTGCATTAAAACCAATTTCAAAAGAGTAATACTATACAGCACCCAAAAAAAAAAAAAGAGTAATACTACAGAACCTAATCAGAGACCTAATTCAATCTAATCTAATTATGAGATCTAAAATTTGATGGAGCCCACTTTTAGTCCAACAGCCATAATTCATTAGATCCAGTCCCAAATTAGGTCCAAATACATTTTTCAGTCCAAAATCATGCATTTCCCTCATGAATCAAATTCTCCAGTAAGTTCCACAATTTGAAGGAAAAAATTAATCCTATTAATAATGAAAGACTCCAAACATCTACGTATTCGGCAGCGCATCTCTACTAGGAAAAAACCGACACACGCACTTATCAACTGCCTCCAAAACTTCAACAAGCCATGGATACCCGAATTCATTTCCAAAACAGACCAAACAATCCAACAGTTTCTAAACTCGCTAACAGATATAGTACCTAAAAACAAAACTTCAACAAGCCATGAATACTCGAATTCGTTTTCCAAAACAGACCAAACAATCCAACAACTACTAAACCCACAAAGGAGTATTGTAAGTAAAACTTCCAAAACAAGTGCAAAAATTAATAATGATATTCCATAACCGACCTTCTCGCCTCTCTCGATGTACTTTACTGCAACGAGCTCTTTGGTATGCTTATCTCTCAGAAGCCTGGCAAGGCCGAAATTGCCCGAACCGATATCTCGAACGAAGTCGTAACGGTCACTGTCATGCGTAATCGGCATGTCCAAACCCGAACCCCCTGTTATTGTCGCCCGCTCCATTTTCCAATGCTCCTAACTCGACCTATAAAAGATCCGAATCAAAGTACACAGCTGAAAAAACGGCAACGTGTTATCGATGATCGTGACTGAACCGGAACATCCGAGGCCGTGAAGTTTCCGGTGATCCGATCGGAGAGATCGGTTCGCAATAAGTCGGTTTTGACCTCAGATGACTCGCCGTTGCTTTCGTTGTAAGTAAACAGTGAAGCATTCAAAAATCGGTTGCTTTTCTACTTCCAGTTTCTGTCTCTATAAAGCATTTCTAGAGACACAAAAATATATTTTCCTGGTCGGCGACGGATTAATATCTATCTGTCTGAATCAGTGGGTTGGGGGATAGAGAAAATGGAAGCTGATTTGGAGACGGCAATGGATAGTGAAAACGACGTCGTCAAAGGTGGTTGTGTTTCCCTCCTTCATCTTCTGTCCCTTAAATTAATTGAACTATGCTTTTGTGGTTAAATGACAGAAATGTCCCTGTTTTGGATAAAATCTGGCCCATCTCATTATGGTTGGTAAAGTCCAGCAAAGCCCCTCGAAGGAAAACAAGAAAAACGATGTGACAAATATTAAAATAATAAACTCGAAGAATATACTTGCGTGCGCATTGTTATGCTGATCGGACGGCCATGGTCCAATTGGCGGTTAGTCTGACGAAGAAGGCTACGGTACATCCAAGGATACTTTTGGTATCATACCAAAAATTCTAAATTACAACATTAATGATATATTTATTAAATTTATGATATATTTACACCGATTGATAAATAAGACAAGACATTAAAATGAAAAAACAAAACATATTTTTGAGCCATCATTAAGTCAATTGAGGGCAAAATTACAACATTAGTGGGAAGTTTACGACTATAGTAAACAAAATTACAACATTAGTGAAAATTTTACAACAGTAGTGAATAAAATTACAAAATTTGTGAGAATATTTACCAAATTTGTGGGAATATTTACAATTTCAGTGGTATATTTACCAAATTTATGAAAATATTTACAATTTCAGTGGTATATTTACTAAATTTGTAATAATCTTTACAACTTCAATAGATTCATTACTAGTCCATGATCGATCAAATATATGTTTGATCGATCATGGACTTTCTGTCTCTCTCTCTACACCATAAATTTAGTGAGAATATTTACTAAATTTGTGGGAATATTTATAACTTCAATGGTATGTTTACCAAATTTGTAAAAATCTTTACAACTTCAATGAAATATTTACAACTCCAGTGGTATGTTTACTCTCTTGGCGCCAATAAGTCAATTGAGGACAAAATTACAACATTAGTTGAAAGTTTACAACTATAGTGAACAAAATTACAACATTAGTGAAAATTTTACAACAGTAGTGAATAGAATTATAAAATTTGTGGGAATGTTTATCAAATTTTTGGAAATATTTACAACTTGAGTGATATGTTTACCAAATTTGTGATAGTTTTTACAACTTCAATGAATTCATTACTAGTATATGATAGATCAAATATATGTTCGATCAATCATGGACTTTCTGTCTGTCTCTCTACACCACAAATTTGGTGATAATATTTATTAAATTTGTGAGAATATTTACAATTTCAGTGATATATTTACTAAATTTGTGAAAATATTTACAAATTCAGTTATATGTTTACCAAATTTGTAGAAATTTTTACAATTTCAATGAATTCATTACTAGTCCATGATCGATCAAATATCGATCATGGACTTTCTGTTTCTCTTTTTATGATTGTTCTGTTTGAACATTAATGAAAAATTTATAACAGAAGTGAAAAAATTACCACAATAGTGGTACAAATTCCAATATTAATAAAAAATTTACAACAATAATAAAAAAAATTTATAACAATAGTAGAAAAAATTTTATGAATGTTTATGATCTATCACAAGAATTTGATAGATCAAACAACAATTTAATCAATCAAAAATTTGATGGATCAAATTGTTGTTTGATAGATCAAACAACATTTTGATCGATTTTTCAAAATTTAATTTTAAAATATGTTTAATAAAAATTTAATTTTAAATTTAAAAAAAATCGATAAATTTAAAAAAAAATTAAAATTGAATTTTAATTAAACATATTTTTAATAGATCAATTAAACAAATAAATTTGGTAACACATACCATTGAAGTTGTAATTATTCTCATAAAGAATTCATTCAAATTATAAATATTCTCATAAAAGTGGTAATTATTATTATTTTTTAGAATATATCAAAATTATTATTCGGAATATATCGAAATTATTATTTTTTTTTATCTCCAAAATATTTGTGATCTATCCTAAGATCTTGTGATCTATCGCAAGGTTGAAGCAGTCTCCCCCAAATTTTTTTCAAAAACAGTAAGCTTGTGATCGATCAAATCTCTCCACGATCGATCAAATATTCTCATGAAGTTATAGATATTTGAATCCATTGAAGTTGTAAAGATTTTCACAAATTTTGTAAACATACCATTAAAGTTGTAAATATTCCCACAAATTTGATAAATATTCTCACTGAAGTTGTAAATATTCTCAATATTCTACATTTACAACAATTTGATCGATCAATATAAATTTTTGATCGATCAAATTAACTTACTAAATATTGATCTATTAAATTTATATCAATTATTATAAATTGATCTATCAAATCTCCCTACGATCGATCAAATCTCCCTATGAAGTTGTAAATATTCCCATAAAAGTGGTAACTGATCCATTGAAGTTATATATTTTCTTGGATTAGTTGTAAAATATTCATAAATTAAGCACATACAAGTGTGTATTGATCAAATCTCCTCATAAAATTGTAAATATTTTAATCCATTGTAATTGTAAAAATTTCCACAAATTTAGTGAACATACTACTGAAGTTGTAAATATTCTCACAATTTTGGTAAATATACCACTGAAGTTGTAAATATTCTCACAAATATTGTAATTTTATTTACTACTGTTGTAAAATTTTCACTAATATTATAATTTTGTTCATTATAGTCGTAAACTTCCCACTAATGTTGTAATTTTGCCCTCAATTGACTTAATGGCAGCTCAAAAATATGTCTTGTTTTTTCATTTCAATGTCTTGTCTACCAATCGGTGTAAATATATCATAAATTTAGTACACATATAATTAATATTGTAATTTAGAATTTTTGGTATTTGTACCGAAAATGCCCTTGGATGTACCATAGCCTTCTCCCATACGGATAAGAGGTTAGATTAATAAACTTCTTTTTTTTATAATCCTCAAAGTATACGTGATGTTTATGTGGTTCTCAATATTTCAATTGTGTTTATTTAGTCCTTAAGGTTTCAATTGTATATCTATATAGTCTAATCCCAAAAAGTTCGTTAAAAAAATCTTTAACACCTCTGATAATGCACCAATAACTTGAAATCAAATAGACACAAAATTAAAAATTATGTGATTGACGTGTGACAAGAACTGTCACGATTTTCTGATAGACGTTTGAGATTGAACCACATAAATGCAAAATTTTGAATCTTAGGAACCAAATAGACACAATTAGAAGATTAAGGACCAAATATACATTAAATGCATACTTTAAGAACTAAAAACATATTTTATCCTAAAATTAAAACATAATTTACTTTTTTGTGTTACCGCCAGAGATATTTGAGTCAACGCCATGATTATTAAATTTATAAGAAATAAAATTCTCATGAACTTGGGCCATAAAATTGTCAATTTTAAATTCAAAATTTATGAATTTACAGTTATTCTCTGTTTCAACTAGACTATCCCTTATACTCCATTTAGTATGAATGATGGAAAATAGGAAGGATAAAAAGTAGGCGGGATACATTTTATATCTTTCAACGATGGAAAGTAGAAATAATATATTTTTTTTCCTTTGTGTTTAGTTGGATGAATGAAAAATAAAAATGATTAATTTTTTTTTTGTGATGACTAAAATTAGGGGTGATAATCGAATCGTGTTGCGTCATATTTGTATCGAGTCATTACAGGTTTGTATCGAGCCTTAATCAAACCTAACTCAATTCATTTAATTAATTGTGTAGTGTTGAATTATGAGTTAACCTGTTTATTTTCGTGTCATGTTTGTGTTCGTATTCATGTTGACCCGCATAAACTTTGAATAAAAAAATTAACGCTAATATTTTATTTTCACTTAATTGAATTTATATTAATATTTTTTCTACAAACTAAAAATTAACTTAAATAAATATAATAATAATATGTAAAAATATATTTTTTATATAATAATTATGTCAGTGTTTAATAAATAGTTAAAAATAATTAACATTTTATATCTATAATACTAGTTAAACATGTTAGTTTTGTACTACCATACTAACAAGAAAATAAAAAAAGTGTTTATTTTTAAATAAATGGGTTAATGATGTCAATTTTAAGTTTGACTAATTGAACTAAATATGAACTTTTTATATTTCTTGTTCGCGTGTCAGATCATTTTCAAGTTCGTGTCATAAAATTCGTGTCGAGTTCGAGTCGTGCTATTGTGTTGAGTCGAAAATTTTCACCCCTAGTTAAGATGAAAAAAATATTTTTTAAAATTTTAAAATTTTTAATATATATATATATATACATATTTTATCATTATATTTTTATATTAAAAGATATATAAATAAATAATATACATCTCAACACAAATAATAAACTTTTCATCAAATTTTCTTATGATTTTGGAGGGATTGATTTTGGTGAGTTAGAATGAAAGGTAATCCATCAACTTTTTCATCATTCCTATTTTCTTTTCTTACCAAATATGACGTTTTATTTATTCCTCTAACTTTCTATCATTCAATTTTTTTATCATATCAAACGGAGCATTAAAATTAAACTAAAGCACATAAAATATAGAATAAATATCTAAAAAAAAATGTTATGCTTACTGATCTTTTATCCCAAATAAAGCGACATAATCTCTATCATTAAACATTAATGGGGTTCCACTCATGTTATAGTAAAAAATTATGTCACATCATTTAAGATAAAAATTTAATAAAATAATTTGATAAACATATTATTATCCGTGGCTAAATAGGGAAGGAGAGAGATACAATGGCATATCATGCTTGTTTGTTTGTATTACCTAATGCATATGGAAGGACAAGTAACATGGATTGCATATCCAACATTGTACTAACCCATAATAAGTAGTTAGGGAGGCCTGGTCGTTAGCACTGGAAGCATTCCACTACACGATTGAAGGTTAATTCGATTGCCTAGCGCAAGGACCAGCGCTGACAATGCTACGGTTGGATTGAAGTCCAGTACATACACAAGCAACGGATCGCATGTGACAAACAAGATAAGATATACAGCCTTCATCATGTCTTTTTGCCCAAGGAAAATAGAAAAACTGCCCATGCTAAAAAGTGGTTCTGTGAACTCAAAGGTCCCTTTTGTCGAAAAAAAAAACTAAATTGCCCCATTATATTGGGGGTCCTTTTTATTTCAACTAAATCACCTCACACACCCTAGTAACTTTAAATTTTTATTGCATTATAAATTATCTATATTAAATTAATAATTTTATGTCAAATTCGTCTCATTTTATCGGAAGTATTAATAATAATCAGTACCTGAAAATACTATATAATATAAATAATTTAAAAAATAATATTAATGACAATTGAATGAATCATGATTTTTAAAAAAAATATTAATAATAATTAAATAAATTTATTTAATTATCATTAAAATAAACTTATTAAAATCCATCCTATTCATATACGGAACCAATGAACAAAGCCGGCACAGCTTTAATTACCTGCGACACCATCTCTTTGGATCCGTTGAATGGGGGCGTTGGGTAAACAGCAAAGTCCAAAGTCGCTTTCAGCGCACCTGATTCACACTGCACCCAACTTTCAATTAAAAAAGAAAAGTCATGTTAATTGGCGAGTGACATTACGCTATAAGAGATAAATTGGGTCACGATCTTTGACGTGCGACACGAAATACGGGTTTCTGGATAAAGCCGAGGGCAAATCTGTCAAGCAACACGAAACCTCAGAATCCAAACCTCGCTTTCACTCCAACGGATTGCTAATTTCTGTCCATAAATGCCCTCCACTCCCGTCTTCAAATCCCCACTCTGCCACCTCAAAACTCCATTTCCTTTCTCCTTGAGTCACCTGACGCACACAGCCCCAAAATCGCCATTTCACTTTTTAAGCCCACCGAACTCTTAAACCTAACTTTGCCAACTGTGCGTATGAACCGGAGGCAATGGTATCGGAGGAGGAGCTTATCGGTCGGCTACGGGAGTTCCTGAGCACGTCGGACCTGAACACGACGACCACGGCAATCGTTCGCCGGAAGTTAGAGCAAGATTTCGGAATCGATTTGTCGGATAAGAAGCCTTTTATTAGAGAGCAGGTCGATCTTTACCTCCAAAGCCACCTCGAAAATGCCGACGAAGACGATGAGGGACATTCAAACGAAGAATATGATGGAGAGTCTGCGAAGATAAAATCAGAAGAAAGTGACGGTGGCGAAAACGAATCAGAAGAAGAGGAGGAGGAGGTAGAAAAGGAATCGGAAGAAGCGAGTCATGGAAAAAGAACCACCAAAAGAGGGTTAGTTATGTGCCATACACTCGCTCACACACAGATGAATACAAGCTTCATTATTTTCGATTTTTATTTTTTTATGAACCTTATCTTGTTATTTGGATCGAGTGTTTGCTGTCTTTATAAATTTTAATTTTTTTTTCTGTCATACAGCTCGCATTGTAATTCTAACATTGCTTGCTTAAAATTTACTGGTGTTTAAGAAATAGGGCTTGGACATTAGGCCTCCTTGTCCATGCCAAAGTGAGGGGAGAAATTGATTTCATATCATAATTTATACTTTACTCCTTCCTGTTGAAATTTGTTTTGGGAGAGGTTTAATCAACCCGATTGATTAACTCGTCTATTCTAGTGGGAATGATGGAACTTACTCATAGCTCTCTCCCCATAGCCCCCAAAAGCATAGGGAAGAGAGCATATGAGGTAGTGATCGAATGATCCAATCAATCTATCTTGTTTATACCTTTACTCTTACTTTGTTAACTCTCTATTACGTGAGTGAAGTGACCCATCTAAATGGGGCACGCACTCTAACAAAGAAGGAGTTGCTTTTGTCTTATCTTATTGATAACACGGTGAGTTTACTTTGTCTCGCATCCCCTTCGTTAAGGGTCCTATACATGTTAGTGATCTCCAGTTTAATTTGTCATTTGCCTTGCAATCCGTCGATCTCAAGCCATGCTACTTCTACCACTGACTCTTACATCTTGGGCACATGGTGGGGTGGGCTGAGCCAGCCTGATTGCTCTGGCTGATACACCTGGATTTGGTAGCTTCAGATTTTCGCGCACACTTTCTAGCTTGCAGTAGATGCATTCTTGGATTGCATGACGAGCCGAGTAGCGGTTGCAAATAACGCTAGTTGCTTTTATATGGATATGTGGTAGTGGTACTGTCCCATTTTAGGGCCGCATCCAATGGCCAGGTGATTGGAACTTGTTATTTTTAGGACATTTTCCTTGTACAAACAAATCAGAAATCAATATGAAAATGTTGAATTTCTTTTGGTTATAAAACCTTGTTTTGAATTTGTTAACTTGTGTCTATTGCTGCAATCCTATCTATTTCTGCAATCCTACCTTTCAATCATGCATTTCTATATTATTTAATATCAAGAAAGAAAAATCTCTAAAGGTTATATTTTTATGTAATGTTGTGTACCATTTTATTCCTAGTATTTGATGGTATGTTTCTATCCATTTTCTTTGTATCTTTTGCCCCTTGTTGTTTAGCTTTTATGTTATAACAGGAGATGTTTATTAGTAGCATGACGTTTCATCTTGCATGCCTGCTTTGCATGAAAAAGTTGATAAAATCTGGACCAGAGGCTGCACCTATTAATATTGTTAAACATGTTGCTACTCTCTGTTTAATCAGGTCTAAAAAGAGAAATAAAGAGGTCAAGAAAAGAGGGGGTGGATTTACCAAATTATGTGGTCTATCTCCACAACTTCAGAAATTCACTGGGGAATCCGAATTAGCCAGGACTGAGGTATACAAAAGTATCAGTGAACTTTATATCAGCACAAAATTTCAGGTCGGATACTCATTTTTATGTCATCTTCATCCTAGGTTGTCAAGCGACTGTGGAGTTATATTCGACAGAATGATTTGCAAGACCCAAACAATAGGAGGAATATAATTTGTGATGAAAAGTTACGTGAACTCTTCAGTGTGGATTCCATAAACATGTTCCAAATGAACAAAGCCCTAGCAAAACATATCTGGTCATTGGATTCTGACGGTGGTATAACTTCCTATAGTTTTATCATGTTTTTTATATGAAGTTTGTTTCATGATTCTGAACACTTGCTTGCCCAATCAGTTCTTGGTGTCGTTTAACAAATTGTGCTTCGATATATGCTACAGTGCTACTTCCTTTGTTCCCTTTTTTTTGAGGGGGGAAGGGGTGTTATTTACCAGTCGAACTTAGCTTCAGAAACTAATAGTTACAGCTGTATTGCTGTAAATTTATTTTTGCCAAGCATTGAGGGTAGGGGATATAGTAAATAAAGAATAGAGAATCAATTCCTGATTTATGTAGAGGATCTTGAGACATGGTTACCTTTGTTGCATGGTATGACTATGCTTTCACAGAGGTAGACTGTGTAACTTGACAACAGGATTTTCCACAAGTTTTTTTGGACTAGGAAAGAAGATATTGGCAATTGAACAACTTACAAGTAGAAGCTTTTGTGTAAAATAACATAATGTGGTTCAGTTGCATAAACATGCTTTTGCCAAATTAGACTGCATAACCCCTCTATGCAACTCAACGAAAAAAACTCATTTATGCCATAAGAATAATCTCATGGTAGCATTTTGAGTTGCTGCAAGTGTCCCCCCAATCAGCTAATTATAATCATGACTAGTGCACAGGGGGAAAAGAGTTTTTAAGACATCGGGCATAAAATCTGATAATGAAATATAACCCTACGAGGAGATGAGGCATTGCATTTGAAGGATAATGCATGCTCGTAAAGGTCCTAAGATTGTGAAATTTGTAAGAGTCAAGTATACTGGAATCAGGTTGATCCCATTGAGTTTTTGTATAACATACATACTGCCGACAATTTATTTGGATGGAGAAAGGGACAAAAGCTGTCGTTACCTTCCAAACAGAAAGGCGGAAACTTTTGTATTATTAAAAAGGCATCAGGTGGTGCGAGTTTAGGATTCTATCACAAAATTGAACAATTGGCAAAGGTGAAGGAATAGTGAGTGAACCTATTTGCCATCTAGTAGAAAAGTGACTTGTCATTCGTGCCTCAAAGTCTTGTAATAGGGCCAAGTTTAGGAAGTCTGCATTATAGAAAACTCCATGATACCAAGGTGTCTTCATTTTTAGAATAAGACTGCCTCAACATTGTCTTAGCGAATCAACTCAAATGTTGGATTGTTGGCTTTAAGGTAATTATTGATCCAGTTTATCTCACGAATCATATAAACCTGAAAATTACCTTTTATACTTGGTTTATTTTTCTGGCAATATATAATTGTTTTCTTTGCATTTTCCTATGATTCATCTGGAGGGTGGGTTTTTGATCCATCTTTCTTGTATACTTGGTGTGGACTCTCTGTAATTATTTTCATGTAAAACTCTAAAGCCAACTCTAAGGCTTGTCATGTCAAGTAATGTGATTTCCTAATTCCTATAGCCTGTGGACTATTCATTGTTCTCAATAAATCACTTTGCAATCTTCTCTATTTTATGTTATTATCTGACATCTTCAAGAACTTAACGATTTCATAAAAATTCTTGAAATTTCTTACAATGTGTCCTTATTTAAGCAGCTCCTGTAAATTCTACACCGAAGGCAAAACAGCGGAAGCAAGAGAGAGAAGAAGAAGGTGGGTACAGTGATTTAAGTTTACAGATGATGTTATTTTGTTTACTTTTGGGAGTCACAAGTGTTAATATGCACGGCAGTAATTTCAACCCTGTTTCCATGCATGACCACGACTGATACAAGCATTTTTCCTTGCTTTGCTGGATCCTGTCCCTTCCCTGTTGATGGCTTCAAAATTTTCTTGTCCCATTTTTAGATAAATTGGGTTTGGCAATGTCTTAAACAGCCCTATGCATACATTAAGACACTGTTGTGATACAAATATGTATGTGCACATAAGCAGATTAGGCTTGTGTAATGTAACACTCATTCAAATTTAACGATGAAATATTTCTTGCGACAATTTTTTCACCTTGAAATGATCTCTTATAGATTCAGATGAACCAAAAAGAAAGGAAAAGCGGCAGAAGGGCAATAATTCAGGTTTTCTTGCTCCACTTCCACTTTCAGATGCTCTAGTGAAGTTCCTTGGCACAGGGGAAAGTGCATTGTCGCGGTCCGATACTGTGAAGAGAATCTGGGAATACATTAAACAAAACGACCTCCAGGTATATGGTTATCATTATTTTGCAATATTCCAATGGCAATGTTAATTGCTTAATAGTGTAGTAAAACTAAATATGGAATTTACAATGGCAATGTTAATTGCTTAATAGTGTAGTAAAACTAAATATGGAATTTACAACCTGAGGATTCTTTTTCTTCCATTTTTTTGGGGGTTGGGTTTTGGGGTTAATATGATGAGATTAGGAGAAGAAAATGGAGAATAAACATCTTGAAAGGTGGATGCATTCCACACCCGTTTGGAATTATTGTTAGGTAACTGAAAATTACATGATCTAGAAGCAAGCAGCCCAACAATGCTGCTTCTTGAAGACAAATTTTGTCCGCCCCAGCATGCACATAAATGTCTCGGTAGCTCTAATTTGGCTAAATTTAGACATTTTGTAACTGCAGTGATTTATACTACACTACGGATAGTTAATCCTCTGTAATTCTTATACTAGGAAATCATGAGAAAAGTGGAACAGCAAATGAAAGCATGTGGTAAAATCTGTTGATGGTAATCTTATCCCCGGGGGTGGGGTGTGTAATTTTTTGTCTCTGCGTAAATCTGGAGGCTTGACTATCAATATGGAGACTCCTGACATTTGAGTAATTGCACGAAAACCTCTTGTATGATTTTTGCTGATATCAGCATTTTTGTGAAGTGGACAGTGTTCAGGTGTTCCCATGTCAAATGACCAGGGATATCATTGTTTTGTTGGTAGAGCTCTGGGAGTGTTGCGGAATTTGCCCCATGGTGTTTTCTAAAACCAGGGAGTCTGTGTGGTTTTGTTTTGTTTTGTTTGTTTTTGGATCGACTAACCTTTGGAACAGGTGTGTGCTTTTCACCAAATACAAATACGGCGGGAGGATCACAGTATCAGCAATGCTTTAACAAGAAAGACGATAATGATTGATGATGTCTTACCATTTTTCATCAGTATAATCAGAGACCATTGAAAGAGTAAATTCAATTGACTGTTATGGTTTAGTTTATGATATGGGATAAAATCTGTTAAGATTCTCTTGAAATTCTAAGTGGATTTTAGTGTATTAGTGGTCTTGGGGTATGTTTTCGTCATCATCTTGTTTGGAAGCAGTAGCATTAAGATTTGGCTAGTAATACTAAATAGCCTGGGGAAATGCTTTCTTTAGTATATATATATTTTTGTATGCCATACAATTGATTTTCGACGGAAAAGCCCGAGCAGTCTCTCACTCTGTTTTTTCCACATTATTGCAGGATCCCTCTGACAGGAGGAGAATAATATGTGATGAGAGGCTGAAAGAACTCTTCGATGTTGACACCTTCCATGGATTTACTGTTTCAAAACTCTTAACCACTCATTTCATAAAAACAGAACAGTGAGTTGCTGGTGCATTGTGATCGTGAAGTCCAAGAGAAAATGGGGATTTTGCATGAACTTAAGATCCTAACTCTTCTTTTGAGCCCTCTGTAATATATCCTTTTTGACAGTCCAACGAAGGGCACGTAGAGAGCACCCAAGAAGAAAGGTTGTTTCGATTTGTGCACTCGAGAGTTTTTGTTGTTCCTTGAATGCTGATTTTGCTGTATTGTGTTACTAGAAAGATGTAACATCAACACAGATTGGAAATTATTCTTCTGTGCTACTTTCAACTTCCTAGAGAGTCCACATATGTGTAGCACAGGTATACAAAATCATTTTATGGATGCTGATGCAGTTACTCCATAACAGACAACAAAGATGAGGGTTAATAGGTTTTTGAATTTATACTATGCTTCTGTCGGAATGGATTTTGATTACACAAAAACATATATGTATTGGTTTGACATTTTCATTTCATATTGTACTCTAGGTATATATAACCGTGGAGTTTGGAGAGGGTCAAATGCATATAGTTGTTTTTTGTTTTTTGGGTCAAACACTATTACGGAAGAGGAAAACAATGAGGTTTGAACACGCGATATTAAAGTTCAACAGCGGGGCAATGGGCACTAGGCCAATTGCTAACCTCGAAATTTACACAGGTTGACCCTTGGTATTATTCATAAGAGAAAGTTTACAATACCAAAATTGTACCAAAAATTATAATTTTTTATGGTAGAAGTTATAATTGTTCACAATAAGATCATGATCGATTATAGATATACATGATCAATTATAATTTTTCTTAAACAGTTATAACTATTCTCTTATAAGTTGTAATTTTTTGTATTTATTGCAACCTTCAATGATCATAATATTTACAAATTGTAATTTATACCTTAAAAAAATATAATTTTTGGTATCATATCACTATTATTCTTTCCCCCTTCATAATATGTATACATATACGTGCTGCCCCTTTTTGCACATAGTATCATCTCCATGATATGTCAGGAATCTGCCCACGTCCGAACATATACATATAGGGGGTGCCTCAATTTTGTCTTGTGTTGCCAACAGTGTACCACTTCTACAACCTAATTAGAGGTAGTCTCTATTTGAAATTATGATAGAATATAAATATTTTTTAGAGTGATATTAATAATCGTTTGATGAATTTATTTAAGACAATCGAATAAATTTATTGAAACCTCTTTATTTTATATTATAGATAATTTAACATCACTTAGAAAAATAACTTTATTCTTCACTTTCGTCCCTACCCAAAGTAATATGGCCTCTATTTAACCGAAGGGAGTTTAGTTTGGCGCAGCTTGAGTTGGCAATTTTTTATGTCAACGCGATGTTTTTAAAATTTTATTTAGTTTCGTCAATAATCACAATTTAATTAGAAATATTTTAATTATTTTAAGGTGATTAGCTGTCGATTTCATGTTAACTTTCTAAACCCCCGGACAATATGTGTTTTTATTTCAATCTATTGGGTTATAATTTTTTTGTTTTACTACTTTTTTTTTAATTGGGTTTTATTTTCGTCTTGGAACATTTAGACTTTTGGATGTAGTCTATGAAGTGTCCTTATGTGCTGTTCATCTATAATAATAAAATAGAACCAATTTTGAATCTTTATTCACTTAAAAATTTAATTTTATTTAAATTCATTTGGAAAAGCACAAGGACGGCTCAGATTCATTCTAATTTTAATCCAATGATCTAAATTTCATCTCAATTCTTTTAACTTAATCCAAAGGCTCACATCAAACCCACCAATCAAACCCATTCCCTACAGTTACTCTCTGCCTCAAATACTCTCTGCCTCAAATCAAACCCATTCCCCTACACACCAACCCACCCCTACAGCTACTCTCTGTTGATCCCAACCCATTCCCTACACACCCATTTCCTCTGCCATGCCTCATGGCTCAACACAACGGCAGCACACAGCAACCCAGACCCCTTACCCCTCTACCCACACCCCTCTCACTCCTCTGCCATGGCTCAGCAGCGGCACACAGTGGCGATGGCGATCAACACAGCAGCGACACCAACGGCGTTCAACACAGCGGCACACAGCGGCTCACCAATCTCAGCCCAGGTATATTATTCGGGAATTAGAAACCAGTAAAGGAAGTTAGAGTTCCAAAATCACACCTTTGTTCTCTTGACAAATTTTCTTGATACTAATTTCTTCACTGGCATAGATTCACAGTGCAAGATGATGACACCAAACACCAGTAAACCAACTCTAATCGTAAGTTTGTTCACAGGTGATTGGTGCCCTCAATCTTGCAAAGAAAACCCTCGATGGCCGAGTTATGTATTCCTCTGGGCTGGGAAGTGACTAAAATATAGTCCTGGTTCATAGTTTTGATGAACAATTTTTCATTCGAGATTCATGATCAATTTCTTTTGCATGAGTCCAATCCCCTTCTCTGTTTCATTCGAGATGCGCACCAGCCCAATCCCCTTCTCTGTTTTTCGGCCCAACCCCCTCACCACCATCAGGCCTCCATCTATCCAACCCCACCCACTCCCTTCCTTTGGTTTTCATAGATTTCTCCCTCTTATTCTCTGTTTTCGGTCATTGATGGCGAGGGCACCATGACCTGACTCCAACTTCCACCTCCACCAAGAAGTCTCCAACACTCCAACTCCAATTTTGTGTTTACCCAAAACCCACTGCTGAACAAACAACCCCAACCCCCAATAAGTCAGATTTTATTTTGATTTTAATATAATTTTGATTGTTGATATAATTTTTGATGTCAATTTTCAATTTTGTTTTCAATTTCGATGTTGTTTTCAATTTTATTTTGAATTAATTTGAATTGCGAGTTTTGAATTTTTGACTGTGGTTGGTTGAATTAGGTGAATGGTTCACACTAAATTTGTTTGAATGGGTATTTTCCAGAGTGTGGTGTGTGTGTGCTTAAAGAAACAGAATTGTAGTAGGAGTATTTTTGTGTGTGAGTTCGTATGTGATTGAGAGAGATAGAGAGGTTCTGAGTGTTTGTATAGAAAGAGTGAATGGTTTGTTGGGAGTTGTGAGCGTCTGTTGTGTGTCGCGGGAGAGGGAGAAGGAGAGAAAGGAAAATGAAGAATAAAAAACAGAGGAAGAATTGTTTGGGTTGAGATTTTAGTTGTTCACTGTACAAATAATAGTGTTTGGATTTGAGTGGCCAAGAATGACCCAATTTCCCTTAATTGTAGTTACATGCGTTGCACGTGAAATTTTTCTGTCCAAATCAGTTAGTGCGAGGGACCAGGTCTAGAGTATGAATTCGGAGGCCTAAATTGACGAAATTCGAACTTTAAGGTTCAAAATATATAAGTAGTAAATTTCAAGAACTATTAGTACAATTTACCTATTAACATTCGGCTTGAAAAGTTCGGATTGAATATTGGGTTTGGATTGAACTTGGGTTTGGTAGTTGAAGGGTTGAATTCAGATTATATGCACTCCTGCTTGCACACTCCTGTTTGATCTTATGAGACTTAAGACATTTCATTTCTTTCTAACCCAAGAGTTAATGCAAGCAACATTATTAAAAGTTTAATAAACAACTTTATTTGAGATAGTCATTGTTAACCCCTACTGTTTGGGTCGACTAGAGCTTGCTTTTACTCAACATCTATTCAGTTTTTTTTTCATCTGTTCAGTTTTTTTTTCCTGAATAGTTTTTTTTTTTTTTCCCTGAATTGATGTATTTCAACTGCGTAATTCCATTAAAAATGTTTGCTTATTTACTCGATCAATTGCAAAAATGTTTACTTTATTGTATTGTGTTGGTTTGATATGTTTTTTTTAAGTGTACATAATTTTGTGTGTACAGAATTTTGTGATCTTCGAGTTACAAATGTAGATTCTTTCCTTATGTAGATTCGAGTTGCAAATCTACTGATAATCTCAACTGCAAATTTGAATTTAATCTCAACTCGAGTTGCAAATTCGAGTTGCAAATTTACAGCAAATGTAGATTTAAATATTTTTAATTAGTCATCTCCTCGAGGTCTTTCCTAAATGGCCGAGTTATGTATTCCTCTGGGCTGGGAAGTGACTAAAATATAGTCCTGGTTCATAGTTTTGATGAACAATTTTTCATTCGAGATTCATGATCAATTTCTTTTGCATGAAATGTCTCGGAAGATGTTTGATCTTATGAGACTTAAGACATTTCATTTCTTTCTAACCCAAGAGTTAATGCAAGCAACATTATTAAAAGTTTAATAAACAACTTTATTTGAGATAGTCATTGTTAACCCCTACTGTTTGGGTCGACTAGAGCTTGCTTTTACTCAACATCTATTCAGTTTTTTTTTCATCTGTTCAGTTTTTTTTCCTGAATAGTTTTTTTTTTTTTTCCCTGAATTGATGTATTTCAACTGCGTAATTCCATTAAAAATGTTTGCTTATTTACTCGATCAATTGCAAAAATGTTTACTTTATTGTATTGTGTTGGTTTGATATGTTTTTTTTAAGTGTACATAATTTTGTGTGTACAGAATTTTGTGATCTTCGAGTTACAAATGTAGATTCTTTCCTTATGTAGATTCGAGTTGCAAATCTACTGATAATCTCAACTGCAAATTTGAATTTAATCTCAACTCGAGTTGCAAATTCGAGTTGCAAATTTACAGCAAATGTAGATTTAAATATTTTTAATTAGTCATCTCCTCGAGGTCTTTCCTAAATGGCCGAGTTATGTATTCCTCTGGGCTGGGAAGTGACTAAAATATAGTCCTGGTTCATAGTTTTGATGAACAATTTTTCATTCGAGATTCATGATCAATTTCTTTTGCATGAAATGTCTCGGAAGATGTTTGATCTTATGAGACTTAAGACATTTCATTTCTTTCTAACCCAAGAGTTAATGCAAGCAACATTATTAAAAGTTTAATAAACAACTTTATTTGAGATAGTCATTGTTAACCCCTACTGTTTGGGTCGACTAGAGCTTGCTTTTACTCAACATCTATTCAGTTTTTTTTTCATCTGTTCAGTTTTTTTTCCTGAATAGTTTTTTTTTTTTTTCCCTGAATTGATGTATTTCAACTGCGTAATTCCATTAAAAATGTTTGCTTATTTACTCGATCAATTGCAAAAATGTTTACTTTATTGTATTGTGTTGGTTTGATATGTTTTTTTTAAGTGTACATAATTTTGTGTGTACAGAATTTTGTGATCTTCGAGTTACAAATGTAGATTCTTTCCTTATGTAGATTCGAGTTGCAAATCTACTGATAATCTCAACTGCAAATTTGAATTTAATCTCAACTCGAGTTGCAAATTCGAGTTGCAAATTTACAGCAAATGTAGATTTAAATATTTTTAATTAGTCATCTCCTCGAGGTCTTTCCTAAATGGCCGAGTTATGTATTCCTCTGGGCTGGGAAGTGACTAAAATATAGTCCTGGTTCATAGT